CTTAGATCACAAAATTTGCTATTGCAAATCGCAAAACATGTGTCTTAATCCATTGTAGCGCACGTTTGATGTCATTTGACATAAAAATTTCGGGACTGTCATTGCAGTATGCTGTTATTACTTGACACCCTGACACGAACATGAAAAAATGTGCAACAACGGTGTTCGCCCGATTCCGTTTGCGTATGTTTTTTATCTGTTAGATTAATGCATACCAGTGCGTTTTAGGTAAAGATAAAAACGTATATATTATAGTCAAGTTAAGTACTAATTTATTCTTTCTTAAAGACAAAACAGGTTTTTAATCAGTTTTATTTCATTCGCTAGTTATTGAATCAAATTCATTCTTTGAGGGTTTAATCTCAATGAAGCAAATTGATTCACGATTTTTTTATCTACTACAGTACTTTATAAATGTGCATAAATGGCAAGAGAGATAAGTGATTGAATTCAATGTAAATAATATCAAAATCATCATTTATAACTTTGAATCATCATACAACCTGAATAATTGATAATTAATTTAGTAGACACATATCGTTTCTTGACTGAACATTTTAGGAACACATTATTTTTACATTGTAAAAGCTGCGCAGTCTTGTTTATAATTACATGTAAGCATATTAAAGTTACCCGCACTTGAAATGATAATATGGTGTCAGACACCGAGACAGTGCTGGAAGTAATAAGTGCTGCGTTCTTACAGGTTCCATTTTTTATCTAAACGCTTGTCAATATTTTACCATTTTACCAATTACATGAATAACATACATTGAAGATGAAACTAGCATTACAAATGATAAAAGTTCGGTAGGATAGGGAATATGTAATTATAGAAAAGAAAGGAACCGAATTAAAGCAGTGAAAATCACAGACACGATTTAGCTAAGTCTGTTTATGAATGGCAATGAAGTGAATCTTTCCAAGCTACAAACTTCAGACACCCCTTAGCATCAATATTAAAAATATTCTAGTCCTTACCTTAAAATGTTGAAATAATCAGCCGAGTGATCAGGAACACTGCCAGAGATAATAAAGATTTTTTTGTCATAGCACCTACTTGTGTGAGTATTAAAATGCGGAAAAGCAGCAATTGAAAGTATACAATTACATACAAATTGCAGATTTGGTTTGATTGAGCATGTTCATGTGACACAAAAAGGACAACACCTCTCACCCCACCCTTAGCACTGGCTTACGGCTTAAGAGGTAATAATTTTAAAGACTTACACTACTGTAATCAATGATTTTTAACCCCCACCCCCCCCAAAAAAAATGCATAACTATGTCTTTATATTTGAAATAATTGCTGATTAAGTGTATGTGTTTTTGATCAAACATTCTTTAATTGAGAACGTTGCCAACATGTTAACTTTGAAATACTGCGCAATTTATCCGAATTTCAATCTGAAATAGGGAATAAACCAAGCTGAACATGAAAGCTTAATATGTTAATTAGTGCTATACCAAATTGTTGGTTTGATTGGAAGATTTCAAAATAAAAATCAGTCTTTAACTTAATAAATTGCTTATAAATACGCGGTAAAGAAATTAGGACTACGTTTCTTTTAAATACGTATTAATTTTCACACGAGAGTTTGTTATTTCTATATGAAAATAAAGCAATAACAACGTAAGATTTCTTTTAATAACAAGACTCCATTCCCATCAAGTTAATTTCTTCTTTGATCTATAAACATCAGTGTTTTTTAATGAAAAGTTTATGCAAATAAGTTTTTAAAGAATGTATTATTTTTCGCATGGTGGCTTTTGAAAATTAGTACCATGGAATTCTTACCTGGAAAAAATTCAAACTTGTCTTGAAACTATCTTTTGATGTTTGACATGACAGAATAATATTAAAAACATATTAGTAATTAACTCTTTCGTACATATATATATATATATATATATATATTGAATATATATTATATATATATTGAATAGAGAGTAAAGAATCACTAGAGAAAGTCAAGTCTAAAACTACAAAATTGGAACTGTTTTATTGAGCTTGTTCGTTGACATTACTTACTGCAATACTGCACCCCCAGCACAGGCTTATAAGAAAAATTAACATATTTTGTACATATGTATTGAATAGAGAGAAATAAAATCACTAGAGAAAGCCTTAAAAGGTAAAAAGGCAAAATTAAAACAGTTTGTTTGAGCTTGTTCTTTGGCAGTACTGGAAAGTGCAAGCTACTGTCCATCCCCCCTAGCACCGGCTTAATCAGAACTGTCATGGTGACATTTTTAATTAAAAAAATATCCAAAGATGTGCTCATGAAGACCCATTCAGACACTCATTTTTTATCTTTATTTTTTCACAGGTTTTTTACTTTTAGTGTGTTGCAATTTCAAAAAAATATACCAGATGACCATTAACCTGAGCCATTGTTGCTTTCGTTGACAAATAGTAAAACTAAATAAAATGTGCATTTTATAAAAGAGTCGAAACACCATTTATGCTACCATTTTTAACAGAATGTATCAAATTCAACGATATTTGCTTCAGATGATACATATTTTAAATGTTTTCAAACCATTATTGCACCATAATTGGCGTTTCTTCTATAAAGAACGGAAATAAAATATATTCCTTTCTTAGGCATTATGTACCTTTTAATACTACTTCAAGCATAAGACCATTTATTTAGTTATTTTATCTGTGTAGTAATTAACATATCGTCGTGTTGCCCAAATCACCACTTTCTTTGTGTTTAGAAACTCGTATCTAAATTTTCACAACCCGACAGGTTGATAATTTCTAGACGAAATCGGTCGAAAAAGGAAACAACAACATAATGTTCGAGGGTACGTTAATAATTTAAAAAACTGATTTTTTCTTATATTTTTCCTTTTTATTGTTCCCCCAAGGTTTTGAATGTTTGTGGAGATATTGGTTAGTGCTGTTACATGTATGCTATCCGGAAAAGCTGGTTAAGTTGGAGAACAGCCGAGATATGACCAAAATGTGTTATATAAAAAGTCTTGCTTTGTGACGTACATCATCATTTACCATTGACTACAGTTAGTTCAAAAGGCACCAGCGACGTTATGATATTCAGCCAATATATTGACAATATCAAGAAACGCGACTGCAAATTCGTCAAATGTTGAAGCTAAAGTACATTTTGAAACAACTAGTAAATAGTTAGTACTTGTAAAATTTATCATTTGCCGTCTCAGTGTGAAACATGTCTAATCAACAAAATATGACTGTACTGCTTTCTCATGCAAACGAAGAAAGACAACTCTTCCTGCAATTTCTCCACTATTGTCTATTATAATGCCTTCACTTACTATACTCCAAATATTCGTTATAATGCGGGCGTTCAGTTTAACGACCGCATGTTCGTATTATATCTTCTAAAACTATTTCTATTTCCCCCCAGATGGCGATTTAAGTTTATTTTAAGGAATATTACCCTCTAAAATTACTGTGCTGGAACTCTGATTTAACACAACAGGGGATAGAAAATGTTGTGAAATCACTTTTCGCAGACTTTAAAATGTGTGTGTGTTTTTGTTATTTTATTTAGAACGCAATATTGTTTTCCCTTATTTCGAATTCAGAATATCCATACTGTATATTAGATTTTAAAGATGTGAAGAGAAATAAAAAAATGTTCAAAAACTGGAATATAACAAAACATATAACTTCTATCACGCATGTCGAAACTCAAAAAAAAAAAGAAAAAGAAAAAAAGGTTTAGCTCTGGGTACTCCTCCGAACACGTTCTTTTCCACTTGGTTACATTGTACTACCAGGCATCATTATACACGAACGACCGGGATAGCCACCTTATATTATACCCGTAGATAATTAAAAACCAACAAAAATACGGTGAATCCTTCTTAAAATTTAAACAACTCAGCAACTCGAACGATCAAAAGAAATTAACGATCAATGAATAATATAATTTAACCTTCACAAAATGATACGGAATGTATCCAGTCAAACAAAACCTGTTGTAAGCGTCGCAGAACTGTTTCGCGCCTTTCATTTATTTGTTTAAATCGATAAGCCAACTAATTGTTTAACATTAGGCGGTAGAGTTAAAGAGAAAATGACATCTCTCTGACGAGAGAATTTCTGTTTTGTTACCAGCATGTATCTAGCTGCGTTCAATTACTTTCAACATCCGCTTTATTGTGAAAATATTAATTGGAATTAGAAGTTTAATTCATAAATATTTTCGGGCGATTAAAGTCGATACAAAACACAAATAAACGTTTTGGCGTTAGCTTTGAGGAAACGAGACAAACTCCGCGTAGATATACAATTGCAGACGCCAGTTTTAGATATGCTCATTTGAAAAATAGGGTTAGAAAGAAAAAGGCGATAATATTAAATGACTATTTGAAAGTATAGCTTAAAACCGGATATGAGTTTAAAAAACAACAAGTAATGCGTAAATTAACAGTTAAAATTCTGTAGGATATTACATGAAATAAACAAACCTTTTTTTCTAATTTGGATAAAGAATAATTTGAAAACAGCTGGGCATTATGACCCTATTCTTTAAATTTCGTATACTTTCGTTTTGAAACTGGTTCTTTAGGAAAGGATGGTAAGCCTTGTTTAAAGCGCGTCATTATGGTTGCTTACTTTTCTTTCGTATTAAAAAAACAACTCCAAATTCTGATAAATATATATTTTACAAATTAGACATTATTATTTTCAATTTGCAATGAACAGTGAATTAATTCTCCTGTTTCCTTATCAACATATATTAACATCTTTATTTTTAAGAGATATTTTCTTTATTCATTTTTTTTTCGTTTACATTACTCCAATTTAAAAACAACAACAACAACATCGACGTTTTTCTTTTTCTATCCTTCTACCGAATTTCCGATATTCATCCGCGTCTCTTTTTTTTTCACCCAATTTTTCTCCAATTCTGCCGTCGTCCTCGTCCGTATCATATTTATTAGCATACGTTTAAATGAAATATAAACCATCTTGATGTATAACAAACTGATTATAGAATATAGATACCCTAACACACGAAGCTGTCGCCAATTTGCTTTTATATCGGCATGCGTACAATTTCAAAAACAAAACGCTGTCTTCGGGTATCAAGACATTTAGTTGAATGCCTCAAATTTTCAAAATTCGATCAATATTCGGAAGCTTCATTACATTAAAGCGAGCACAATTTTCTGGGAAACTTGTCTTTTTTGAGTGTCTCTTCAGTTACTTGTGAAAGCGTCTGCTGATATTGACGGGATATGTGCGTCTAGAAATACGGACTTACAAATCGATAGCTACAGTGAATTTTGTACAGATTTTTCATTGTGACTTTTGACTATTCTTCTGAATGCACCGGATTGGATATTCTGTTTACAGTAAGTTACAATTTATCTGTGTCGTCTGCTGTAATGTACGGGTTGTAATTACTTTTATCTTGACACTTGTAGAATGTATTGTGTTAGAGTATTTTGTACAGAAATGCTATTTTCTACAGTTAAACAAACCCGTTATGCGTAAATAATAAAGGTTTTTTACAGTCCAACTGTACCATATGTCGCTTTTTTGCGTTTGCTATCAATTCGTTATTTGATGTCACAGTTTTATTCGACGTGATTAATATTTTTCATTAATATTTTTGCCAAATGAATTTTCAAACACATGTTATAATCTAAAAACACTTACGTATATTATAAAATTATCTTTGCGAAAAAAGTTTAACGTTAGAAGTTACAAAATGTAAAGGTATGAAATTATAGATTATACTAATATATAATATATACTGTTATCATTATTTATGTCCGTTATCTTCGACAATTATTTTTTTTAATTAATTAACGTACGGTATGTCTAAAATTTAGTCTGTCTTAAATGAAGATTGTATATACACGCTTTAAGCGTTTATCATAAAAATCGGGTTGGGATGAGAGTTGGGGATGGGGACATAACAATATAATTTGATATACGGGACACGTCTAATTTTTCTGCCTCGCACGTGTCTGGTATATACACGCTTTAAACGTTTATTATTAAAATCGGGGGTGGGACAGAGTGAGGTAAAGAAACATTTTAAATTCCTGCCTTTTAATATAAATATGACATCTGGACATATAAAATGGTACACATCAGGTCTTTCTCGTTGCAAACCTATTTTGACACTTTTGTTAACTTATTGTGTTTCTTACGATACCAACCCATCTGCGTGATTATTGTTCGTACAGCATCGTGCTTTACACATGGCTTCGTTTATTTACAAATATTTTATTGTTATTTTACATATATGTAACAAATGACTACACATATTGAAAAATGAACATCTGCACGAGCGTCCGTCATTATTTATGTCTTCTGTATTCATGTTATGGAATTTCGATACACGAATAGACATTTTATCTAAGATTGATCTGTGACCGGTTCAAAAATAAATGCGTCCTTTATGTGAATCGGGTTCATTAGATAAACGCTTAATTCTATGACGTCATGAAAGCAACATTTATTTTTGTCATTTATTGTTTATACAGGAGAAAATTTAATTACAATTTATGACTTGCGTACAGTAATCAATGTCATATAAGTAGACTCTACAAAAAGTTCGATGAACCTTGTGAGAAAAAATGACAATGTCATGTTAAAGGAGAAAAAGAACGAAGATTTGTTAGTGTTTTATCTTCGAATGCATCGTAATGGTGTCAGTGATTTTTTTCCAGGAAACTACCAAGTCCCTGTGGAATTCAATGCCATTATAATGCACTTCGTTTAAACCTAAAATTATGTGTTTTAGTTCTCTTAATTCCTCTTTTGTTAAGCTTTGATTCCATTTCACTCAGAAAAAATCAAATTCTTAGAAAATAGAAATATTCAAGGCCTCCGTGCTTTCATTGTTAATTAAAATAAAACCAGCAAAAATGCCAACATTCAAGATTGTAAAAAAGAAAAAGCTCTTCGGCACTGGGATCTCATAACTCTGGTTTTATTGCCCGCAGTTCATGAACATTAAATAAAATTCAAGGAAATTTCATCACACGGCGCAAAAAAGCACCCATGTGTCATTGTGATTTTTGAGTGTAAAATATTTTGTAGCCACTTTACAAAAGATTATTAGTAAAAAACTTTGTACAGGAGAAAATGTCTCAAACACGAAGACCGGCCTACATTCCATTTTATTATTTTTATTATTTCTAATTAGAAATTTTTTGATATTTTACGGAAAAACGTTTGTTGTCCTATTAAGCAAAATTATAAAATATTGTTCTTTGATGAAAAAAACAACATTTTTTTATTCATTTTAATGCTGTTGATGCTTATCAGATGTATAATAATGGGGTTCCCAATATAACTTTCAGCATCATTATAGTATATTAAACTCTGTTAGAATATCATTTTCAGCTATTATCAGCTATTAACATGAATATGTCATGAATATGTCAAAATATGTATGTCATTTCCAATGTGTATTGTTGTTGAGGACATTACACCTTACACAATTTGTAATATGTCGTTACAACCTCCGTTATGTAGAGTACTCTTTTATTAATTTGACCTGGGAAGGTAAATAAATGTAATGGACGTACGTGTTGACACAGTACATAAAATTAAATCCATATGAATGTTTATGTTTCAAGTTTATTATATAAAAAGATAACTATTTTAAGTTTACGTTATTTTGCTTGTACACGAGCTATTTACGACTTAGTGCCCCGGCAATGTAAATAGTATGGCCGCTTTCTTTAATCTTCACCTAGAAAGTATGAAGGGAAGTTGTGTTACAATAAATATGGAAGAGAACTTTTAGTTGGGGGAAAAGTTGTTTTAATTGCTATTTCATCTCATAATCCCCGATTAGATCTGAAATGTATACTGTGTATACTTGCCTTTTGTTTATACACATGCTTGCTCGATTTTAAATACTAAACACACATGTTACATATATGATTTAATAAAGAGAAGATCTTATCTTTAAACGAATAATACAAATCAAGAATTTATTGGATGTAGCGTCGATATGACGTAATATACACTCGGAAACAATGAAGAATTATAGTGTTATTTATAACTGCAAATAGTCAGACGTGAATCTAATAGACTTTTATTACAATATGAAATCCATCGATTTTTGCTTTTAAGGAAACTCTGATAAAGCACAATTTTATATATGATAGATTATTTTATCATCTCTTGCACTGTCTGTCGTGTTATTTACATGGTCTCCATCATGTACACTACAATTGTTGATCTTTAGATTTTATTTCATAGGTAGTTTCTCTGCATGATATGTAATTAAAATACACGCATGTATATGTCGTTTAAAGTCCCAATTGGATTTCCAATATGCTGTAACAGCCGGTTCTCGGCGGTATATAGCCTGTGGGACAGATGTTTCTAAAATGTTTTACAATATAGGTTTATTAATCTTAATTAAATATTTGAAAACTATATGATGGTACAAATTTATGAAAACTTAATCATATTTCATTGTATTATATTTGACACGTTCAACCTTGACCCTCTTGTCATCTGAATGGAAATTATTTGAATTATTTAGAAGAGGACTCGGTCAGAAAAATAACGAAATATTTGTAAATAAAAAGAGGATCAATATATTTAACGGGAATGTATATATTATTAACGACGAGACAAACGTTCATCCGTAGGGACAAGGCTTTAGGCACATTTTATTTCGAATGGCTTTACAGCTACAGTAGCACGAGACCGAGTCCGCAGCGATTTGATCAAGTCCGAGGGCTTTTGCAGATGTAACTGCTTAAAAATTAGCGTTTTATTTTTGTACGTAATTCTTCTAACGCTGGAGTTTGATTACATGTGACAGTTAAATTACCGTAAGCTATTTTTTCATGTCACCGAACAATAACGGCACGTGCTCGCGTGATTTTATCTGTAAATGCATACGTTCTTTTACCGTTTTTGTACATCTGCATACGTTTTCCTTTTCATGCAAATAATTATGATGAAACTTAATTAAATTAAATGTACTTTGAATGTTTGTAAGATTAGGTTTATAAATGTATTGGAAGAGAAAAAAAAACAACAAAGAAACCAAAAAAAAAAAATTAAACACACAAACAAATTAAGTTGTTTCACCGGACAAGATAATTGTAGTTTACAGGAAACTTAAGAACGATATTCTTTTTCGTCGAAAGTAATGCTGAGTATAATTATTAATTAAAATATTGTTGAACGAGTTACAATAAATATATCTGATAATGCCAAAAAAAGAGGAATAATATTAGTGATATGATGATGTTGATGATGATAATGATAATGATGATGATAATAATAATAATAATAATAATAATAATAATAATAATAATAATAATAATATAATAATAATAATAATAATAATAACAATAATAAAAATAACAAGAGCCATGTCAACATGGCCACCCCCCGCCGAATGTGTTTGCTCATTGGAAGAATGTAAATGTAGTAGAGCAGAATAATTCCATTTTAAGAGGTCTTTTGGTAATGAAAACTGATGGCTATAGTGATTACAGATTTGAAACCTATGTGAATACTGATGGCTGAAAATAACAAAGGGCAATAACTGAAAAATAATGCAGGGTAGGTTATCATTCTTGTGTGCTGCATCCCTCCTCAGTAAAATCTATTCACCTATGAAGTTTCAAGTTGAAACCTCAAATACTTTTTGAGAAAAAAAATGAATTGAAAAATTAAGTATGAAAAATAACAAAGGGCAATAACTCAAAAATTATAAAAGGTAGAGTTATCATTCTTGTGCAGTGCACACCTCCTGAGTGAGATCTATGCACCTATGAAGTTTCATTTTGATATCTCAAAGGCTTTTTGAGTTATGCTCTGGACAAAAATTAATTTTGAAAAATAACAAAGGGCAATAACTCAAAAATAATGCAGGGTAGAGTTATCATTGTTAAGCACTGCACTCCTCCTCAATGAGATCCATCCACCTTTGAAGTTGTATAGGGAAGAGTTATCATTTTTGCGCACAACATTCCTCCTCAATAAGATCTATCCACCTATGACATTTCATGTTGATATCTCAAACACTTTTTGAGTTATGCTCAACTCAGGTGAAAAATTAGGTATGAAAAATAACAAAGGGCAATAACTCAAAAATTATGAAAGGTAGAGTTATCATTCTTGTGCACTGCACACCTCCTGAGTGAGATCTATGCACCTATGAAGTTTCATGTTAATATCTTATAGGCTTTTGGAGTTATGCTCTGGACAAAAATCAATTTTGAAAAATAACAAAGGGCAATAACTCAAAAATCATGCAAGGTAGAGTTATCATTCTTGTACACTGCACTCCTCCTCAATGAGGTCTATTTACCTATGAAGTTTCAAGTTGATAACTCAAATACTTTTAGAGATATGCTCC